TCACCCTCAGCTCCCCAGTGTCTGTTTGATAAGTATTTTAGAACGGTCATCCTTTTCTCGCACGATTTGACTAAGTATGCAGTGTGCTTCTTCCATGTCAGCCGCTGGTAAAATATGAGTCCTAGAAATTTTATGTCCCATGCTTGTTCTAGTATTATATTATTTAGTTTTAATGGTGTTCCACCTTCAATTGTTTTTTTCGAGAATACGATGCATCTTGTCTTTTCTGGTGAAAATGTTAATCCGGAGCGTTCTGACCACTGTTCTAGATTTTGCATTGTTTTTTGTATCAGGTGAATATTAGTTGTTAGGTTTCTACCTCTTACAAATATTAACATGTCGTCCGCATATAGTCGTACTTGAATTGGTTTTTCTATGTTATTCGATATATCGTTGACAGCAATTAGAAATAACGCTGATGATCGATCCTTGAGGAATACCGTTATCCTGTGATCTGGGCTTAGACCAAACTCCATTCGTCCGGACTTGAAAACTTCGGTCATTCAGAAAATTGGAAATGGAGGCAATCATGTTCCCATCGTATCCCCATGATTGTAGTTTTGAGATTATATCTCTCCTCCATGTAGTATCAAATGCTTTTTTGCTTGTTGCTAAAAGCTTCGTGTATATGTGTATCAAGGTCGATGATATTATCTATAGAGGATCTATTTTGTCTGAATCCGGACTGCTCGTTTATTAGACGATTTCCTTTCTCTAAACTCCACAGCAGCCTTTTGTTGATTATTTTTTCTAGTAATTTACACATAGCACATGTTAAGGATATCGGTCGATATGATTCTGGTACGAGAGGTGATTTATTAGGCTTAAGTATAGGTATAGTGAATGCTTGACGCCATATATTTGGGAATAGGTGTTCAGTCCATATTTTATTATATATATTTAGTAGGTGTTGTTTTGCTGTTGCTGGGAGTTTTTTCAGAAATATGGAGGGTATATCATCAGGTCCTGCAGAAGTTTCTTTTAAGTCGTTAAGTGCTTCCTCCATTTCGTGCTCAGAAATTGTTTTGTTCATTGGGTCTTGGTTGTTCTGGATTAATATTTGTGTTGCTTCTACGTTGGTCTTATGTATTAGAAATTCTTGATTGTAATTCTGGTTGCTAGAATGTTTATGGTAAGTTTTACTGAGTGCTTCCACTATTCTTCCGCTATCTGTATGTGTTATATTGTTTTCTTTTAAGCATCTGATTGGAGAGTATGATGGCTACACTTTTGATTTTTTCCAAACTGTCGCTAGTGGTGTTGAGCTAGATATACTGCCAACAAAATTCCTCCAGGGGTCTTTTTGATTCTTTTTTGTTGTTAGCTTAGGTTGTGCTCGTTTTTCTTTATGTTCTATCAAATTTTCGATAGTTCTGTTTCTTTTAAACTTGTTTACTGCTTGCTTAGTTGCCTTGATTGCTGTATTACATTCTTCGTTCCACCATGGAACAGGATTTTATTCATAACTGGTTTAGTTTTACCAATGCTGGTGTGTGCTGCATTTATAATAATATTATTGAACTCGTGTATTGTGTCATCAATGTTCTCTCTTATTTGAGTTTTGTGTAAATTGTGTTCTATATATTTCGAGAAGTGTATCCAGTCTGCTTTTTTCAGGTTCCACTTTTCAGGTAGTGTATCACTGTTCAATTCTCCTGGGTTAGATATGACTATAGGAAAATGGCCGCTTCCATACAGGTCATCTAATACGCTCCAGTTCAGACGGGTTACAAGATTTGTCGAGCTTAAGCTCAAATCTATTGATGATGTTGTTCCAGTTCCTAGATCAAGTCTTGTTTCAGTACCATCGTTTAGCAAATTAAGATCTGTTGTATCCAAAACATCTTTTATTATTTTTCCTCGAGTATTGTTTCTTCTTGATTCCCAGGTGTGATGATGGGCGCTAAAGTCACCTTGGATAATTCGAGGTGATGGTACTTGTCGGAGAAGTGCCTCCAGTTCATTTGTATCTAAGTGATAATTGGGTGGTATGTATATACTGCAAATGCTAATATTTTGAGAGCCTTCTATTGTGACTGCGACTGCCTCTAGCTGAGTGTTAATGTTTATAGGCTTGGCTACTATGTTACTTTTGATATAAATAGCAACACCTCCACTAGCTATATAATTAGAGCTATCATTGCAGTTCTTAAAGAATTCCCTGTAATGTTTTGGCGTGTGTGTTTTTGTTTCGTGGAATCGAGTTTCTTGTAAACAAATTATGTCAGGGTTGTGATCTGAGATGAGTTTATGTAACATGTTTAAATGGCAGAGGTATCCATTTAGATTCCATTGTAAAAGCGACCTAAGACCAATGAACATAGTATATAATTTAATATGTTGTGGAGTCCATTGAAGAGGTGTCGCTGAGACATTCGTTAATGTTATTATCAGTATATCGTTCTAGTTTTTTTCGTAGTCTAGTACATCTGTTTTTCACTGTTCTATCTGCTATGTGAGGGTACACCAGTAGTATCATTTCAATGAGCCCTTTAGTGTCATCTGTGTAGTCTTGGATTATGCTCATTATATCATGGGTTCCGTCAGTGTTTTCTAGGAAGCTTTTGAATTGGTCACTATTCAAGGTAAAAGCAGGGGTTTGGGCATCTATGAATGTTTTAACGCCTTCACATGCCTCTTGAGAGATATATGACGGCTGACTATTTGTCTTTTGTTTCTTTATTCTTGTGTTTTTGGGTTTTGGAAATATAGGGGAATTTGTGAGGTTTGATGAGGGATCATGTGTTGGTGTGGTCGGCGAAATTGCTTCTGAGAAATTTCGTTTGGAGGATGTGATGGTTTGTGTATCCGTTTGGTTATTATAGGTTAAATCATGTAATGCAACTGCGTTTTGTTGTTATGGTTGAACTGGTTTGATATGGCTTTCGACCTCTGCTCCTTGTGTGTTGGTTGTATATTGAGATGTTGCTGGTTCATGACTTGGTGCTGTGGTTATTTGTTGCTCGTTTACTTGTTGAGTGTTTGCCGTTTCCAGTTGATTGGTAGACTGTGTTGGTGTTTCGATTATGTTTGTTTGCAGTTGGGTAGAAAATGGGCACTGGGAAGCTATATGTCCTTGTCTATTGCATTTGAAACACATTTGGCTGTCTAATGATAGAAAAATGCGGTAGGTTATGTTTTCATGCGTTATTTCTAGTGACTCTGGAAGATTTGCCGAATCTTGGTTGGGTTCAATATACAGGGTGACTTTGAAGTTGAGTCATTAATTTTCAGATAATGATTGTAGAAGGAAGATAAACCAAAATATGTGTGTAAAAATAAAAAAAAAATTAAAAAAAAATTTTACCTTGTTTTATAAAGTATCCTCCCGACAAGTATTTCAGTGCGGACCTGTATTTGATGGTGAGGTCCCCTGTGAGGTCTTAAGTCACCTGATTCACTAGCCCGTTGTACTACATTAACAAAGGCACGAGGGGTTGGTTGCGTTGCACTCGATTGGGAAACCGATCCACATAAACATGTGCCATTTTTTATTTCACTATTCACACGCGACTGAAACTGACTGTATGTATAACTGAACTGAATTGTAATCGTAAAAACATCGTTCGAAATTCTTTCGCTTTTTTGTTTCCGATGCGATGAACCGTTGTTGCCAAACACGAACACATGATATTATTGAGACAGGGCGGTACTCAAACTTCCAAAGGGCTATAACTTTGTTACTTTAATTTTACCAGAAAAATGGTAAAGGAAAAAAACATTTCTTTTGATCAGATCTACAAACTGTTAAAATAAATGACTCAACTTCGAAGTCACCCTGTATGCTTGTCTTCTAAAACTGAGTATATGGCTATACTCAGGCAATGGAGCTCCAATTTTCAAAAAAGTAAGTGGTGAGACCAGTTTCAGACCAATTTGTAATAATTTTTCATTTATAACTGTGTATGGGACTGTAGGACTCACATTCGAAATTACTAGTGGATCGGATGGTGTTATTAGTCTGCGTGCTTTTATGATCTCACCATTAAGTTCTATTTGTCCAGGATTTTCTAGAAATGTATCGACTATATGTTTACTTGCTAAGTATATACAAATTCTGTTATTCGAAATTCTAGAACAAAAAAGTATATTCTTAGGGCTGATTATTGGACCAAGTTTGAGTAAATAGTCCTGCAGTCTAGTTCCATTACTAGAATTAAATATTATTACTTGATCTTTATTTGGATATCTGAATGTATTTTGAGTCAGTACGTTGGAGTATGATTGAGCTGTTGTGACATTTTGGGATGCATTTTGGTGTTCAACGGATGCCATTATTGAATTTCGATAATCGCTCCAGGTGGCCGTCGATCATTTCTCGATACGGACCTGTCTCCTCGAGACTATGGGTGATATGCATAAAGGAGAGTGGCTACTTTTGACTCGCATTTTTAAAGTAGCCACTCCATTTGATATGCATAAAAATGTTAGTAGAAGCTCACACTCATAAGTTTCTACTCTTTCCGTGAGGCTGTACTCGCTCCTTGAGTGCCGACTTCAATTTTTATATGCATAAAAGTGAGCGTGTACTCTGACCGCTGAGTGCATACTTAAAGAAATGCGAGATACCTTAGTAGTAGACTCAGCTTTATAAGAAGTGGACGAAATGGCCGAATTTATGCCTATTTATCAGCCTACGAAGGTATTTAAAGATCGTAGGGAATCAAGTGAAGTAGACTATCGGGCCTTATATCGGTTTAGTAAAGTTAATGTTGAGTGGATAAGTAACCATTTTCTTGGAGAGACAGAAGAATATAGGGGCGGTGCTTTGAGCAATATAGAAAGAATGAGGGTTTTTTTACGATATGTGGGTGATCCAGGATTTCAAATTGGCATAGGAGAAGCTATTGGCGTCCATCAATTTACGGCATCCCGAACCGTTTCGAACGCTATATCACGCATTGTGCAGAAGTCGAACATTTGGATTAGATTCCCAACCACATTTTAAGATCTACACAATGCTAAAAATGAGTGGCAAGAAAAGTTCAATTTTCCTTCAGCTATTGGTGCTATCGACTGCACCCATATACCTATTCTGAACCCGTTTATTCATGCAGACGAATATGTGAACAGAAAGAACTTTGCTAGTATAAATGTACAAGCAACGTGCAATTCAAACGAAGAGTTCACAAGTGTGGATGTTTCTTGGCCAGGATCTGTACACGACTCTCGGATATGGAAGAATTCTGATATATGAAATGGAATAGGGCTAGTGCTGTTTTGTTGGGGACTCTGGGTATGTTATAGCTCCTTGGCTCATGACTTCTTTTAGGATTGCAGAAACAGCAGAACAAAGATCATACAATCGGCTGTTTACGAGAGAGCGAGTTATAATAGAGAGATGTTTCGGGCAACTAAACAGCGATTTCCCATTCTACATAACAAAATACGCGTCGATACAGAAAAAGTGCCCTCCCTTGTCATGAGTTGTTTTATCTTGCATAATGTGGCTAAGCACCTTAATGATGAAGATTTTGCTGTTGATATACCGGGAGATGGCGAACAAGAAGAAATCCATAATCAACACGCTGCTGACTATGCCGATGGAGTGATACGTCAGAGAGATCAATTTAGAAGAGATGCAATATCATGGCTGTCGGGTCTAAGTAAGTATCTAGCATGATCCAAATTTATAAATTATGTAGATATACGTTAGAGAACGATGTTTAATTACTCATAACAAAATTAATAACACTTTCAAAATGGCAACTTAAGAGAAAGTTCTTAAAACTAATAAAAAATAACATTTATGAAACATGAAGTACTTTTGTCAGTTCTGTCCTGGACATAGGCTCATGAAAATTGGATTTCCAGTTTCTGCACTTTCATTTAAAGTTGATAAATTTGGATCAGATTCATTAATATTTTTCTTGTGAAGTAGCAGTTCCTTAGCTAGCCGAAACACTTGTATTTGTTCAAGTAAAACGAGACATTGGAGCTCTGTTATTGATAAATCTAGTGCTTCATCAGTTTCCACTAATCCTCGTTTTCCTTTTTTTGGAAGGCTCCTTAAGTCCGGCTTTCATTGTGGTAGCTTTCAGTACTGGTCCTGAACTTCCAGATGCTTCTTCGGTGATTGTTTCTTCTTCAGCATAGGCTGTTGGAGTGTAATCAACGCTTTTTTGTGGGCAACCTGCCACAACAGCACCCAAAATTTAAAATATATGCTATTTATATTTATTGACATGTATATATATTATACTCAATCACATCTTATACCTACTGTATGGAAAAACAAAAAAATACAACTAACATTGCAATCGAGCAATACTAGGATTGTAGAAAATTGAACAGTTCTTGTTCCAATCCTTTCAATTTTATTGGTTTGTTTCCGGTTTGATATATGTCTGTCTTCGCTTTTAATCTGGTTTTTATGTTTTGAATCGTCTTACAAATCTGCCCTTCGTTATATTTAACTCCTAATTCGGCTTCTACCTTTTCTTTTATTTCTTTCGCCGCCTTACGTCGTTTATTTTTGATTTCCGGTATGTTAAATTTTTCCAACAAAACAGGATACTGTTTAATTATATTAACAAATACTGTTTGATTTTCAGATGAATGGTCTTCAGAATAGGTATAATCGACCTAAACACCACCGACACAAACGTTTACCGTTATACAGTAGTAACTGCTCGCAATAGAGAAATTGCCAATTCGACGAGACAACAAAATACAAGTCGGAACTCGAAAACCAGAGTGCCTACTCAAGTATTTCATTGGCACTTGAGTAGGCTCTCCGTTTCTCGACAAATATTTTATGCATATCAAAACCGAGTATGCTCTCCCTAACAGGAGTAGTTACTCGCTACAATATGGAGTCGCTACTTCTGATAACCCACTCGCCTTTATGCATATCACCCTATTTGTTTTGGAGAGTTTTTACTATGCTGTGCTGCACGAGTCTGCTGTACGGTTTATTATTTATTTCGATTTCTGATATAATTAATCAGATAAAGGTTGAGTATGTACTCACAGTGTGTCCGTATAGGCTTAAACTGTTTCGTTTGATTTTCACTAGTATGTTGTTAAAATTTGTAGAGGTTCGCTGTATAGCTAACAAGGCAATTTCGGCCAGGACCGAACTCCTTGAAATATGTTTGAAGAACTGCGCTAAACTTTTCATAGACTGGGTCTTCAAAATATAAACAATATTTTACCTTTGGTGCAATAAATTCTTTTACAAGTTTAATTGTATCAGCTTCAAAATTGTTCTTTGATAATTGAACGGATATTCGCTGTTTATTCACATGTAATCTACTAATTACTGGATCAGCTGGTTCGAGGTTTACTTCTGAAATAATAATTTGATTTTTTGCACAATTTACTGCTGTATCACTAATTGGAATATTTGACGTGGGATTTTCTATATTAGAATGAACGGTGTATCCTGATGAATCATTTTCATTTTCATCAATTTTATCTAAATCATTGGGTTGAGGTGCGATCGAATAGTTATCGGTCTGATTGGGAATATTGGAAATATTCGATGGATCTGCTTGATTTTCAAGATTTCTATTAAATTCTTCCAGGTATTTGGGTGATATGCAGAAAGACGAGTGGGTTCTCAGAAGTGGCGACTCCATATTGTAGCGAGTAACTACTCCTATTAGGGAGAGCCTACTCGGTTTTGATATGCATAAAATATTTGTCGAGAAACGGAGGGGCTACTCAAGTGCTAATGAAATACTTGAGTAGGCACTCTGGTTTTCGAGTTCCGACTTGTATTTTGTTGTATCGCGGAATTGGCAATTTCTCTATTGCGAGCAGTTACTACTGTATACCGGTAAACGTTTGTGTCGGTGGTGTTTATGTCGATTATTATTTGTTCATTTACATGATATCAACCTATTCTGGAGACCATTCATCTGAAAATCAAACAGTATTGTTTAATATAATTAAACAGTATCCTGTTTTGTTGGAAAAATCTAACATCCCGGAAATCTAAAATAAACGTCGTAAGGCGGTTGAAGAAATAAAAGAAAAGGTAGAAGCCTAATTAGGAGTTAAATATAATGAAGGGCAGATTTGGAAGAAGATTCAAAACATAAAAACCAGATTAAAAGCGAAGACAGACAGAAATCAAACCGGAAACAAACCAATAAAATTGAAAGGATGGGAACAAGAACCGTTCAATTTTCTACAAGGAGAATCAAATCCTAGTATTGCAATGTTAGTTGTATTTTTTTGTTTTTCCATACAGTAGGAATAAGATGTGATTGAGTATAATATATATACATGTCAATAAATATAAGTAGCATATGATTTAAATTTTAGGTGCTGTTGTGGCAGGTTGATTACACTCCAACAGCCTGTGCTGAAGAAAAAACAATCACCGAAGAAGCATCTGGAAGTTCAGGACCAGTACTGAGAGCTACCACAATGAAAGCCGGACCCAGTAAGGAGCCTTCTAAAAAAAAGGAAAACGAGGATTAGTGGAAACCGATGAAACACGAGAAGTATCAATAACAGAGCTCCAACATCTCGTTTTACTTGAACAACTACAAGTGTTTCGGCTAGCTAAGGAACTGCTACTTCACAAGAAAAATATTAATGAATCTGATCCAAATTTATCAACTTTAAATGAAAGTGCAGAAACTGGAAATCCAATTTTCATGAGCCTATTTCCAGGACAGAACTGACAGAAATACTTCATGTTTCATAAATGTTATTTTTTATTAAGTTACTATTTTGAAAGTGTTATTAATTTTGTTATGAGTAATTAAACATCGTTCTTCAACGTATATCTACATAATTTGTAAATTTGGATCAAGCTAGATACTTACTTAGACCCGAAAGCCATGAATAATTCTTGATATTGCATCTCTTCTAAATTGACCTCTCTGACGTATTACTCCATCTGCATAGTCGGCAGCATGTTGATTATGGATTTCTTCTTGTTCGCCATCTCCCAGTATATCAACAGCAACATCTTCATCATTAAGGTGCTTAGCCACATTATGCAAGTTAAAACAACTCATGACAAGGGAGGGCACTTTTTCTGTATCGACGCGTATTTTGTTATGTAGAATGGGAAAACGCTGTTTTAGGTGCCCGAAACATCTCTCTATTATAACTCGCTCTCTCGTAAACAACCGATTGTATGATATTTTTTCTGCTGTTTCTGCAATCTTAAAAGGAGTCATGAGCCAAGGAGCTATACCATACCCAGAGTCTCCCAACAAAACAGCACTAGCCCTATTCCATTTCATAACGTTGTATATATCAGAATTCTTCCATATCCGAGAGTCGTGTACAGATCCTGGCCAAGAAACATCCACACTTGTGAACTCTTCGTTTGAATTGCACGTTGCTTGTACATTTATACTAGCAACGTTCTTTCTGTTCACATAATTCGTCTGCATAGGTATATGGGTGCAGTCGATAGCACCAATAGCTGAAGGAAAATTGAACTTTTCTTGCCACTTATTTTAGCATTGTGTAGATCTTCACATGAGGTTGGGAATCTAATCCAAATATTCGACTTCTGCACAATGCGTGTAATAACGTTGGTAACGGTTCGGGATACCGTAGATTGATGACACCAATATCTTCTCCTATGCCAATTTGAAATCTTGGATCACCCACATATCGTAAAAAACCCTCATTCTTTCTATATTGCTCAAAGCACCGCCCCTATTCTTCTGTCTCTCCAAGAAAATGGTTACTTATCCACTCAGCATTAACTTTACTAAACCGATATTATAAGGCCCGATAGTCTACTTCCCTTGATTCCCTACGATCTTTAAACATCTTCGTAGGCTGATAAATAGGCATAAATTCGGCCATTTCGTGAAGACATCCACTTCTTATAAAGCTGAGTCTACTACTAAGGTATCTCGCATTTCTTTAAGTATGTACACAGCGGTCGGAGTGGACTCTCGCTTTTATGCATATAAAAATTAAAGTCGGGACTCAAGGAGCGAGTACAGCCTCACGGAAAGAGTAGAAACTTATGAGTGTGAGCTTCTACTTACATTTTTATGCATATCAAATGGAGTGGCTACTTTTAAAATGCGAGTCAAAAGTAGCCACTTGCCTTTATGCATATCACCCATTGGGTGATATGCATAAAGGTGAGTGGGTTCTCAGAAGTAGCGACTCCATATTGTAGCGAGTAACTACTCCTGTTACGGAGAGCCTACTCAGTTTTGATATGCATAAAATATTTATCGAGAAACGGAGAGGCTACTCAAGTTCTAATGAAATACTTGAGTAGGCACTCTGGTTTTCGAGTTCCGACTTGTATTTTGTTGTCTCGCCGAATTGGCAATTTCTCTATTGCGAGCAGTTACTACTGTATACCGGTAAACGTTTGTGTCGGTGGTGTTTAGGTCGATTATTATTTGTTCATTTACATGATGTCAACCTATTCTGAAGACCATTCATCTGAACATCAAACAGTATTTGTTAATATAATTAAACATCTCGGAAATCAAAAATAAACGCCGTAAGGCGGTTGAAGAAATAAAAGAAAAGGTAGAAGCTTAATTAGGAGTTAAATATAATGAAGGAGATTCAAAACATAAAACTGGTTACTTATTAAACTTACTTATTTTAACTTTACTAAACCGATATAAGGCCCGATAGTCTACTTTCATTGATTTCCTACGATCTTTAAACACATTCGTAGGCTGATAAATAGGCATAAATTCGGCCATTTCGTGAAGACATCCATTTCTTATAAAGCTGAGTCTACTACTAAGGTATCTCGCATTTCTTTAAGTATGTACTCAGCGGTCGGAGTGGACGCTCGCTTTTATGCATACAAAAATTAAAGTCGGCACTCAAGGAGCGAGTACAGCCTCATGGAAAGAGTAGAAACTTATGAGAGTGAGTTTCTACTTACAATTTTATGCATATCAAATGGAGTGGCTACTTTAAAAATGCGAGTCAAAAGTAGCCACTCGCTTTTATGCATATCACCCATTGTGTCAGTGGAGTCGGTGCTCCTGTTTCATTAACATTTATTTCTATTCTATATAAAAAGTCCGCATTTGTGTTTGATTTGCCTTTCCTGTAAACAATGTCAAAATCATGTTCTTCTAATCTTAAGCGCCATCTTAGTAATTTTGAACTAGCATCTCTAACTGAAAATAACCATTGGAGGCTTTTGTGATCTGTTACAATAGTAAACTTACGTCCGAAAATATAAGGTCTGAACTATTTTACTGCATATACGATACTTAGAAGTTCTTTTTCTGTCGTGCTATACTTTGTTTCTGAATCACTTAATGTTCATGAGGCGTACGCTATTGGTAAATCTGAGCCTAATTTACCTTGGGATAATATTGCGCCGATTGCATAATTACTTGCATCCGTAGTTATCAAGAATGGTTTGGAAAAATCCGGATATTGGAGTATCGGATCGTTTGTCAATAAAGTCTTGCACAATTCGAAACATTTAATATAATCTGCGTCATTGGGATTAATAATTGCATCTTTTTTCAATCTGATTGTCAACGGCTTAGTGATTTTCGCAAAATCTTTTATAAACTTACGGTAATAACCTAAAAGTCCAAGAAAGCCTTTAATTTGCTTCTTAGTTTTTGGTATTTTAAATTCTGTGATTGCCTTTATCTTATCGCGGTTTGGTTTCACACCATCCGCCGTTACAACATGTCCTAAATACGATACTTCTTTTCTAAGAAATTCCGATTTGTCTAACTGTATTTTAAAATTTGACTGACGTAACCTTTCAAAAACTTCTCTGAGTCGAGAAATGTGTTCCTGTAAACTAGTACTGAATATTATAATGTCATCTAAATATACTAAGCATTTTTCATTTTGAATACCTCTCAGTATGATATCCATTACGCGCTGGAAAGTCGCTGGCGCGTTTTTTAGTCCAAATGGCATTCTTGTAAACTCGTTGTGTCCATTTTCTGTATTGAATGCAGTTTTTTGAATATCCTCTTCTGCCATTTCTATTTGGTGAAAACCTGAAGCTGAGTCTAATGTTGAAAAATATTGGCATCGCCCTAATTTATCTAACAAATCTGTTATGTTTGGAAGAGATCTCCCGATGTTTTTTCATTCAATTTTCTATAGTCTATGACTATTCTCCATTTTTGCTTTCCAGATGCGTCTAATTTTTTTGGAACAATCCATATAGGTGAGCACCACGCTGAATGGCTCTCTCTAATAATTTTTTGATCAAGCATTGATTGTATTTGTCTTTGTACCTCTTTTCGGTCGATTTCAGGATATCTGTATGATTTAGTGTAAATGGGTATTTCATCGCTTGTACGTATATGATACTTAATTTTGCTCGTAAAAGTTAAGTAATTACCATCTATGTGAAATATGTCTGAATACTCTCTTACTAACTTGGTGATTGCGTCTTTTTCTTCAGAATTCATATGCTCTGTCCTAATTTTGGAAATATCAAATTTATATTTTTGAAAGTTCAAAGAATTAATATTCGGTGGATCAGAATTTTCTGAAAATTCGTAATTTTCAAATTTTCTACATCTATTGGTTGAGATATGTCAAGAGAAATCTGTTCTTCAGATAAATTTAATACTGTGCAAATCGCTTCGTGATTTTTCACTGTAGTAAGACATTCAGGGATTTCTAAACATGATAATTTTCTGTATGGAATAATTGCATTACCATTTTTTTTATTTTTTTTGTTAACTTTAATTATCTGTTCTGTTCTAGGTGGAACAGTGATAACATTACAAGAATTTTTGTAATCTCGTAATATTGCATGGGTATCCTTGTTGTGGGTGTGACTAAAATATCATTGCTCAAATCAATGTTGGCATTCAATATCTCTTTCAGGTTATCGAGTCCTAAAAGGTATTGGAAATGTTCGTGAAACTTGAATAAATGAAATTTCATGAGAATATTTGGATTCTTAAAAATCTTTGGACAAGGTATTGTCATACTATATTGTTCGATAGATGAACCATGTGCTGAAGTGATTTGATATGGGTCTTTTTGAATATGTCATGAAAATAATTTTTTCGCAATTTCAGGGTGTATGAACGATTTTGTACTTCCAGTGTCAATCAATACTTTGAGATTATACTCCGGAAGTACAATGTATGGTAGTTTGCTACATTTGTCGGTTAAACTCATAATTTCAATTGGACTTTGGAAATTCTACAACAGGTTGGTCTTGTACACACAAGTTAAACATAGCCTGTTCTGCGTTTACACCAGGTCTGTTAAAATTTCTACCTTGAACATTTGGTTGCTGATACGTCTGTCTAGTGGATGTACTCAAAGGAGTAGGCCTTGGCAGATTATTGATCTGATTAGGTCTAAAAACGTTATTATTGTGAAAATTCGTTCTATTCTGATTAGGATTATTTGGTCGTACATTATTAGGACTAAATTGTCTTTGTAATACTGGACGCTGTACCGCTTGGTATTGATTCCTATAATTACCAAAGTTGTTGTTCAGATGGCGAACTAATTGCATATTATTTCGATTAACATTTTTATGTTTATCTACCTTATGATCAAGCTGAAAGTCGTTAGTTAATATATTCAGAGCTTCATTCAAGTCTGTAGGATTTTTCGTCCTCATGAGCGATCCTAGAGGTTCCTTTAAACCTTTTAGAAATACTCTTAATGCTACACTTTTGCAAAAATTACATATTATCTGAGCTTCTTCACACACACAATGTGTAGTTAAAAATTATATTTGTAAATTCAATAAACTCTGAAGTTTGTTATAAAATTCAAAGGGGGTTTCATCGTTCTGTTTCAATTCACACATTTCTATATTTAGAGTAAATACGTCTCGCTTGTCTTGATATGTATTTAAAAGTGGAGTTTTCAAGTCTGTCCAATTTTTTATAAGATTGCTACTAATATTTAAAGCTGCATTACCGTTGATTTTCGCTAAAATACTACTCATAAGATATTCGTTCTGGAAGTCATTTTCATCCTCTAATCTATAAAATTTATTCACTAACTTTTCGCAAATATCTATGAATCTTGGTAATAATTCTTGTTGACCATAAAATTCGGGTATCATGTTAAGATACTCTGGGCGTAATGACATGCTTGATTGATTTACTTGACTGTTCATATTGACTGTACTATTTAGTATACTAGGTCTTAATTGCAAATTCGTTAAGCTATGTTGGATATGTTCCGTATCCGACTGTGAGTCCGAATCAGTGTCACTCAATGTATCATCAAACAGCTCTTGATTGTTTTCACCCCTGTAAGACATTCGCACTTACAGTAGTAA